AAAAATAAAATTAGTGTCATATAAAAGTATATTTTAAAATATAAATCTAGTGATATATTATATAGTATGTATAATACTTAGTATATAGTATATATAGTTAGTATGATTATTAGTCGAAAGTTAACGAGTTTAATTTTATTTAAAAAGATGTCATCATATAGTTACCGAGACCAAGGAGTATCAGTTTTTCCATGGCCATACGTCGGATTCACATTCCCATGGCCGCGCGTGCGGGTAAGGAGTGTCGCGGTCGAAGACTTGGAAGTCTTTCTTGGATAATGATGGTCGTTGGGCGACCGGGCGGGGGAGGAAAAATCGTTCGCTACCCCCAACCCTGTCCCCGCGCGCACGCTGATGTCGCTGGTCCCACCACAATACCTGCCTCCACCTCTAACAAATCAACCACATATTTTAAAAACCCTCTAGTAAGGAAAATTTGGTTTATTTTTTGTTCCACCAAAAATATTCCATCTAGTGTACTCATAATGTTTCACTATGTATAGATGTAACGTTGCAGTGAATTGAAATATTCCATTGCAACAAAAAAAACCCACATATTTTAGAAACCCCTATTAAGAGAATTCGTTTTATTTGTTGTTCCACCAAAAAATGTTTCGCCTAGTGCATTTATAATGTTTTACTATGTATGGATCAAATGTTGCAATGAACTGAAACAATCTTTCGCTATTTGCTGAAACATTATTTTTATATACGGTGAAACAACACCCAATTTAAACGAGTGAAACATTTTCGATCTACTTAGCGAAACAATTCCGATATATCTGGTGGAACATCGTACAACATTTAAAAATAATTCAATAATAAGCTTAAAAAAGTTGTCGCCGGAATATATCTATGTGTGGTCTTGTTTTGAAGATTTAATTGCAACAAATTTAATGGTGCAATCGGATCATGATTTGGATAAGTAATTTAAGAAAAAAATCAGTTTAAAGTAATTTTTGCACGTAAATCAGGCGCGGACGTCAGCGCCCGATTTTTCTCCGAATCATTGGGCGTCCGAGCCGTAGGCAGCCCCGTCTTTCTTCGCGCGAGAATTCTCAGGCATTATCCGTGGCAAATTAATACAGTAGCATATTACCCCCTGTAGTTTTGGATAATACGAGAAAAAAAAATAAGGTAAAGAGTTCCAAGTTTTTTTTTATTCTTCTCAACGTAAGAGATGAAAGGAACGTTTCAGTTTGCAAAGGACAAAATTTCATACAAGACACTAAAGAACATAAAAACGCGTTACGGCTAAAAAAACACTAAAGAACTGGTAATTTGTTGGGGGACAAAAGCTTTTGAGTTAAGACTAGAGTGAAGATGGAATATAATGGATCCTAATGATGTACTTGGGGTGATGGTAAATTTAGATTTTTCATAATTTCTAAATTTTTACTTTAACATCATGTTTGAAGCATGTGATTTTAGGGGCTTTCTCGTTTTATTAAGAATTTATCATTCCAGTGTCATCTAGTAAATTACCAGTCTTTTAAGGATGTCTTTTAGTTGTGACATATTTTTTTATGTCTATCAATAAATTACATAAAATTTTTTGTGTGTTTTGTAGCAAATTTTGCCACAAAAGGTGGTCGTGCTGCCTTAAATTTCCAACTGTGTCGCTTTCCTTTCTTTTTTTTCCCCTCACGATAATAGCAGATGGCCAGATGCTCATATATACGCTAATACGCACGAGCTCACTCACCATATATATAACATACACGCACACGCTATCTTTACGAGTACCTCTAAACACTGGACTGTTATAATATTTTAATATTGACGAAGTAATTAACCACATGAATGCATCTCAGTATCAACGGGTACATCGTCTATCGATGATAGAATAATTAGCTTAAATATGAGCACCTATTCTGGCTAGGGACTTAAACTCGGATTACCCAGATAGATGTTTTCTCTTTCTAAACAATATTGCATAGGGGTCATCCCTTAATTAGTTAATCTACTTTGTTTTAGGTAAAAAGGGGATGAAAGCAACATAATGCTTTCATTTGTAGACATAGTAATATGCCGTGGTAACACTACGATACCATTTAATAATACAATAATACGCGAGTCTTTCCAAACCATGTAACCCCCAATATACAACTTCATAATCAGTGAGTGGACAGATGTAGGTTTTTTTTTCTAATTGTACAGAGAGCTGGGATTTTGGAAAAGGAATGTGAATTCGTAAAATGCAATATCTTGGTCCCGCACAGCGGCGAATAAAGCTCCCAGGCCGGACAAATGGCCGCCTGGGCTCTGTCGCTGGGACCTCCATCATTTATTTATTAACAAAAAGTATATAAAAAATAATGTTAAGAGCCAATCTATATATCTCTATCTATATCTATATCTATATCTAAATCTATTTCTGTATCTTTATCTATATCTATATCTATATCTATATTATATCTATATCTATCTATATCTATACACTTTCTATTAGCTCTCATGTTAATCAGCAAAAAAAATTGACCATTGATTAATATCATGATATATCATGACCGTTAGATCCTAAGATCTAATCTGCATGTAATTTATGGGCCAATTTTCAAACCCAACATCGATCTAATCTGCATGTAATTTATGGGCCAATTTTCAAGCCCAACATCTAGCCACCGTACTTCCTATTTCCTTCTACTACCAATCTGGAGTAAGAGTTACTCTCTCCTTCCTAAATTGATCGTCATATCTATTTATACACAAAGACGAAAAATAATTTAAATCACATAAATCAAGACACTATGCACACATTCTCTCACAATGTATGCATCGATTAAAACACTATGCCAATTACATGCACACATTCTCTCATGCTACATTAATTGTATTCTGATAAAATCCGTGTCTATGCGGTTATATGATGATCAATTTAAGAAATGTTGAATTTTATAATATGATGACCAATTTGGAAAGGAGTGGGTATATAATACAGATGGGCATGTATGTGTTTATGATATATATATAGCTAAATTATTGCACAATTATGCTAAAAATACAGATCTTATTGCAAATAGTATTATACTACATATCTTTATAAATGTATGGATCAAAATCTTTTTGTGGAAAAACTCTTGTGGGGTTATTTAATGGGAATTGCTAATTACTACTAAGTACTTCCTGATAATAGTTCCGTGTGTGCGAGGTTTCATCTACTTCCTCATTATCTGCATTAACTATATTTCTTGGGGGTGGCAGTTACTTGTCGAGTTGATCGTGCTATCACTACTATAAAAATATTAGATTGGTGTCGGTTGAGAAACCCTTTTAGATGTCGGATTTCTCAACCGGCACCCCGCAAACCGCACTGATGATGACTTCGGTCACTTCGGTGTGATATGTCTCAAAGGTGTCGGTTTTTAATTAGAACCGGTATCTCTATATAACAGTCTGAAACATGTCGATTTTAAAGTGGGTCCGAAAGAACTACTTTGATAGAACAGGTATCAATTAAACGTACCGGTTTCTGTTAACAACCGACACATACGTCTGATATAACATATACGTGCCAGTCCTTCTTAAAAACCAGTATCTATGTCACCATATAGGTGCCAGTTTAAAAAATGGCATCCCATAGACGCGCATTCAGATACCAAAAGCATTATAGGTGCCGATTTTAACATTTTCCGTACATGTAAAGCCGTGTTTATCTTGTGTGGTTGTTTTTTTAAAAAAAACTTGCCTAATTTTCAAAACTACGTGTGAACACCTTTACACGCAGAGTGTTAAAATCAGGTTATCACTGGTCTTATTCAGCGGAACAAAGTATTTAAATATATATCACTGCTTATAAAATAATACAGGTCCAGATGTGATGAAGGTGTTAGGTCCTGATCTTTCGAAATGTATTAATAAACAGTCGATTTGGGCGGAGTCGCTACACAACTCGATCCGACTTCTGAACGAACACGCTACTGAGCCCCGCAAGCGCAGCACCACGTCTCCTTTGGTTATCAATCGTGCCAAAACCTGGTTAACCTCGCCGAGAAGGCTAATCACTGCATGTGAATTGAAGAACACAATCAAGAACAAGATAAATTGCAACCAAATTGCATATGAATGATTAAGCACTCGAATTTATGGTTCTACAAACCGATCTAGCGGCGAAACTGTTCTTAACAGAACAATCTAAGCAAAACCCGACTCTAAACAATGACGGGTACTGAATAAATATGATTAGGGACGTTCTGGGGTTGCCCTAGGGCACACACCCCCTTGGGGTAAGCCCATGACATAATTATAAGGCCCAAAACACAAATCAAATTCGGACTGGATAAGGTACATGGCTTGTTTTGCAGATTCCCGGTAGCTCGGTAGGAATTTTGACGTGGGACAAAAACCATCTAAAAGTAGACTCCATAAGCTTTCCAATAAGTACTCATGGGTCCCTAAATTCCTTCTAGATCAGCGGCTAGGTCCATTTGAAGTTAATGCTGTTAGGAGGCCCGAATCCGAATCCAAAACGTGTAAAACTTTATCTCTTGTCTCCTATGGACCAAAAGTGACGTGGTGATATGAAAAAAGACTTGGAGAAGGTCTTGGTTTGGTCCTCAATCAACTTCTTCAATCATCCATGCATTCCTTACGCTTGGTCTCTTTTCTTTCGCCCAAGAAAGTACCTCTGCAAACGAAAATACACAAAACTCATTGTGTAGCAACATTTGTTCAAATATATAGCAAGTAAATCAAATATAGAACATATGCACCTTTGGTTGATTAATATATAAGATAATCATGGTTATATCCGAGCTAGTCGTGTCCTCATCAATATGGCATTAGCTCAGTCATGGCAACGGTTTTCAGGCTAATTTCACCACCCCACTCAATAATCCTCCCACCGGTCACAATTCACAACCAAATTCCGGTCGAACTTTTCTTTGGGGAAGGTAAGAAACAAACAAGGTTGTCAAGGCAGTCAGCACTCAACAGACCATATGAATATAGAATAAGACATGACATTGCTTAATTTGAACAAACATGTTAGTAACACAAAATTAGTGATTGCAAAACATTATTTTATTATTAGCACACGTACTGCGTGCAGTGCACAGGCTTATAGAACCGCACTTCACACAAGTAGGTTGTAGGCACAAACATGACGAAAGCATAGAACATAACACAATACAGACAGACAGGACATCTCATTCCAAATATACGTGATGTATAACAGGAGCAAGCAGCGTCCAGCGACTGATGAATACGTTCTACAAAATCTTGTGTGCGCTCTGCCATTCAGCTATTTTGGACCAGGACTTTGTATTTGAACAGATGAAAACAATTACTGAGCTTTCCAAGATGACAAGGGAGGGGTCTCAGAATTTTGCCAAGTAGTGTTGGCCATCGCCTGAGGATACCGGTCGCCTCGAACATCATCTGTGCTTGCGTAAGACTCGAGTTCAGCCATTTCCTCAGGTGTGAGCTTCACAGATAGTGCTCCAATGTTTTGGTTTAAATTCTCGATTTTTGTTGTCCCAGGTATGGGGCATACATCGCTTCCCTGATGATGGACCCAGGCCAATGCGAGCTGTGACGGTGTGCATCCTTTTCTGGCTGCCATTGCGTTAACACGCTCAAATATTTCAGCATTCTTCTCAAGATTCTCTTGTTGAAATCTAGGAATATGCTGCAAAAGTATCAATACAAGTTCTTAGTAAATGAGAACTCATTGTAGTTCTATTTAATTTTTCAAAGAACAAATAGACAACACAGCACAAAGATGAGTTTAATAAAGGTTTGAGTCCGATAAATGCAGAGTAAATATTTCTATTGAACATAAGTATTTCGTGTTACCAATGTAGAAAGTTCAGAAAATGAGAATACAGAAGAGGTACTTAATGGGTATTCCCATCATTCAAACTACAAGGCATAGAATTAAACTAGAAGGTTTCCCAATATAAGGCATGAATGCCTATTTGATGATCTTTTTCTTGTTTTTCTCTACATTGATCATTCATCTCTACACGATGTATGAGTAAACACACCAACAAAATTGGTTTCAAGAAAGGAAATAAATTAATTATTCTATTCTTCTTAATCTGAAAGACAATAACACTACAGATATCACAGTGTTTTCGCTGTCATGCTCTGCTATTTTCATGACCTCATTCATCCCAATTCTTAGGAAAAACTGAGTAGTAAACCATGGAATTTACCTTGCGAAAATCCTGATCTGATAGAGACTCCACTAGTTTAGCTCCAGCAGAAAAGAACCCTCTACCAAGTGGGCTATAAGCTACTATTCCAATTCCAAGTTCTCTGAAATGGAAATAAGAACAATAGTTCAAATGGAGCATGTGATTTTCTTCAACAGACAAACTAATTTGGTGTTTTTTTCAATACCTGCAAGTTGGAATTATATCTTCTTCCACGTCTCTAGACCATAATGACCACTCAAGCTGAACAGCAGTGATAGGGTGTACAGCATGAGCCCTTCTGATAGTTGATGCAGATGCTTCAGATAACCCAATATATTTTATCTTTCCTTCTTCAACTAGTTTCTTGAGTTCGCCAATCTAACAATGTAAAATGTAAATCAACTAGATAAACTTGACAAAAATACAATGGACGGTAGTTCAGTTTATAGCATGCCAAAATAATCAAAACACATTATCAAAATGTTATAGTAAATTTTGCTAGTTTGTAGTTAGATGTTCAGAAAGAGAACGAGTCCTCTTCAGCAAACATATTTGCACAAATTTTCAGTCCTCTCATGTTTACTTGTTTTGATATTTGTGCATTGGTTTATTAAACTTTGAAATATTGGTTTACTTGGTGCTTCAGATCCCAAGCTATTACAAAAACAGCATTCTGTGTTGTAACTGCCCAGTGACATGTAAATGAAAATTATTGGCTCAATCTTTACTTTGCCTCGTCACCCATCAAAATTTCACAGCTAATGTCTAGAGTAAATGAAATACTATATATCTAAACTAAGTATAATATTTAAATAGAAGAAAACATTTTTGAATTATAGAAACCAGCGATCAAATAGGGAGTTATGCCAAACAGAAAGATCTTAATGCAAATAATATTGTACCACGTATCTTTACAAATGCCCTAGTATGTTTAGTCAAAATTTAATTGGTACAGCCCTAAGATGAGGTAGAAAAACAACAATAAAAGGATAGGTGCCATGAAATGGAGGTTCCTTTTATCCTTTCTCTCCATTACATACCCTGTCCTTTCAGAACTCATACCAAATTGGTCTGAATAAAAGAAAGGTCAATGTACAAACAGCCAAACAAACTTAAGAATTTAAGTGTACCTTAAGCTGGGTTAAAATTTCCTCTGTTCAAAATTGACCTCTCTTAAAAAAAATTTCAACAACTTCATGATCCTCCCTCTAGTAAGTTTTCCCAATGAATATGAAATTAATCATCTAGATAAGTGGGTAACAAACAAATGCTCCTTTTTTTTTCTTTTTTGCTTTTCATCAATAAAAGATGTCCATTTTTCCGGCAGCTGTCCTAATAATTATTGTAGAATATTGACACCAACCCATTGACAAACCAACCCACCACCACCTACTTTCCCTTTCAGATACACGTGTATCTTTTGCATCCACACATCACAAAATTTTCTAAAAGAAAGAAGGATAGGAGACTGGGGAAGTGGCACTCACCGTGACCTCGATGGGCACCTTCTTGTCGACACGGTGCTGGTAGTAAAGGTCGATGCTGTCGACGCCGAGCCGCCGGAGGCTGCCCTCGCACGCCGCGCGCACGTACGCCGGGTCCCCGCGGACGTCCCGCTTGCCGTCTTCGAACGCGATGCCGAACTTGGTGGCCAGCTCAACCTTATCACGCACGCCGCCCTGCAGCGCCTGCCGTTCCGATCCAAGCAGGCATTCCGCCGAGCACCTTGAGCGCACTCTCACAAACAAACCCAAAGAAGCAAGAGAGCGGGCAGGACAGGAGGAAAGTAGGTACGTACCTTGCCGAGGAGGAGCTCGTTGGTGTGGGGGCCGTAGATGTCGGAGGTGTCGAGGAGGGTGACGCCGGCGGCGACGGCGTGGTGGATGAGCGCCACCATGTCGGGCTCCGGCTTGGGCGGGCCGTAGAAGGCGGACATGCCCATGCATCCCAGCCCCTGCGCCGAGACCTCCAGACCCTGCGAGCCCAGCTTCATGCGCCGCACCGCCGCCGTCGCCGGAGCAGCAGCTGCCATGGCCGGCCGGAATCGGATCGATCGATTTCTCTCCGCCGCTTCTTGGTTCACTCCGTCACTTATATAATGGTGGAGTACATACAAATACAGTGCAGAGCAATCGTTAGTGGTTGGTGGGAGAAGGAATGTGTCATGTGTTCAAGAGCTTACGCGTGTCGGTTATTATTATCAGGGAAAATTGCAAAAATCACCCCATAAGTCACTTGAAGTTTGACATTCCACCCCGTAAGTTATTTTGTTGCAAATGCCCACCCACCTACTCAATTTTGTTACAACAACCACCCCAGTAAACACATGCTTCAGGGGCGTCCCGGTCAAATCAGGTCCCCGTGCGAAATATTAAAATAGGCCATAGTAGCCTAGTAAATTTTTTTATAGTAAAATTAAAAACGGGCGTGACGATTAGCTGATCATCAGCGATGAAGCAGAAGCGGAGGCTAGAGGGAACTGGGGAGAGGAGATGAAGTGGCTGCGGCATCGGGACTTTGGCGATACGCGACGACGCGAACGCCTGGATGGGAGCACGATGGAAGATGGATCGATTCACCTTCTGCAGCGTTTTGGGCCTTGTGTTTGATACTATTTGGACTGCAAGTTAACAAAATTAAAGCCTCTAATATTATTATATATATGGCATACTTAATATTTTAAGGGCCCTTAAAATTTGGGGGCCCTGTTCGGTCGCACAGTCCGCACGGGCCCCCGGGACGCCCCCGTATGCTTAACCGAATCAACATGTTTTTATAAAATGTGATCTATCAATGTGGTCCTTACCAAAACTAAATATTTCTAGAGTATTATTGATACATTTTATGTAAGATTCCACAAATAAAATTGTGGACGAGAGTTTAAACATTGTCGCACTGAGTTTCGCTATATGAAAAAAAAACAATCAAATATGGAAAATAAGTCTAATTTAAGCACTTAGACAAGATTGACTTGGCTAGCTTAGCATGTGGTAACCCTACATCCGCAATAACAAACTGATTTGGTTAAGCACGTGCGCATTGGGTAGGGTTTTCAATTCTGAAATTGGATTTTATGCCGGGGATTCCTGAAATTTCAGAAATTTCTGGCTGAAATTATTTGAAAATTTGACTGAATTTGAATAAAATTTGACCAAATTTTTTTAAAAAATGCAAAAATCCAAAAATTTTGGGCGAGACTTGAGCATGCCGGTGGGATGGCGAAATTTCGGAAATTTCGAACCAAAATTTCAAACCCTAGCATTGGGTGGTTTTTCAACAAAACTTAGTAGCGGGTGGGTATTTGCAACAAAATGACTTATGGGATGGAATGTCAAACTTCAAGTGACTTGTGGGTGACTTGTGGGGTGGTTTTTGTAATTTTCCCTTATTATTATTATTATTATTATTATTATTATTATTATTATTATTATTATTATTTCCTTTTGTATAGCCTCGGTTTTTTATGTCTCTTGCTACTAGGGGGCCCTAACGGGCGATCAATCGCCAGCGATCGATCCAAGCGATCAGATCCGGCCCCCCTCCCCCTATAGGCAATACCTCCTCCCACTCCTCCCCCTTCCTCCTTCCCTTCTTCTCTTCCTACTACAGTACACCACAAAAAAAATTTTAAAAAAAATAAAAGTTAGAAAAATTTATGTATAGAAATACTATATATAAAAAATTTAAATTCAAATTTGAATCGAATATGTAAACTTTTGACTTATAAACTTTGGGTCTATAAACTTTAGGTGTATAAACTTTAGATGTATAGAAATACTATATATAGAAAATATTTGAATTCAAATTCAAATTTGAATCGGATATAATTCAAATTCAAATTTGAATTGGGTATATAAACTTTAGGTCTATAAACTTTAGGTGTATAAACTTTAGATGTATAGAAATACTATATATGAAAAATATTTGAATTCAAATTCAAATTTGAATCGGATATATAAACTTTAGGTCTATAAATTTTAGGTGTATAAACTTTAGATGTATAGAAATACTATATATGAAAAAATATTTGAATTCAAATTCAAATTTGAATCGGATATATAAACTTTTGAGATATAAACTTTTGGTCTCTAAACTTTAGATGTGTAAACTTGAGATATATAAACTTTAGGTGCATAAATTTACTAAAATAGAAAAGTAATGCGGTGCCAAAAAAGGAAACCAGAGGTGGAGAGAGGGAGGGGGAGGGGGGGTGGGGCGAATTGATCGCTACCCCCACCCCCAGGCGAGCGATCGCCCTATAGCATTTCCGCTTGCTACTCCCTTAATACAACTTCTTCCACCGCTCTCGTGCCACGCACATCAAGGCCCCTCTATAGATCCGAGTACGAGTACGATAGCAGATGGAGTTATTTGGCTTGAACGGTGTGGACAACGCAGGGTGTGCCACCCACCACATGCGAGTATGCCCTGGGCTTCTAACCATCCTCTACGGATCTTCCTGCCTGTAGTTTATCAATGTGGATATAGGGCAGGTACCTTCCTCAGCAAGCTCATGGAGCCTACCATCACCTTTGTATAGCATCGAAACATAAGAACTAAGCAAGTCTTACCACCAAAAACCAAAACTTTTAGCGGAAAAAGTTACCCTCAAGATCTGAAGGAGATTGGTCTGACCAGAGTAAATCAGCCGGTCCAACTGTCCTTTGTGGTGCCAACGCCTATCGCCATGCATCGCAGTTCTGACCGGAATAGATCGGCCACTCCAACCATACTTTGCACCACCGATGCTTGTCGCCGTTGCTGGTCCAACAACCCATTATGCCACCGGTGTTACCGCCGAACCCGAGCAAATACAAATCAAAGAACTCTATTAGTGTTTACAAAGTGCACAACAACACTCATCTCTAAAAAATTGACTAAACTCGAAACCGTAACTTTTTCTTTCAACTCAACTCTCAAAAAATCGATACCGAGAGGTCTCAACCACTCTTCTATATATATATACCCGAAGTAGAAGCCTAAAAGCCACGAATCCAACTTGTACAAGTCATCCTAATCCACAAGGAAACTTTCCCATATAAATATGTAACTTATCTCATTACAATTCAAACTCTAATCTTCTCAAATTTGGCCTCCTCTCAAATTTGACTCTGCTTTCCATACATACACAATCTCCCATCATATGTCGCATGGAATCTTCACCAACCACGCACATTGTTCTTTAGCCTAAGCATACCACATGATATCCTGAATGTTCGGACGTCATCTTCTCCCAAGTTGACTCCCAATCATCACTAACAATACTATCCCGAGGCATCAAGACACACCTACACATGAATCAAAGAAGAAACCATATCCGAGCATAATTTTTTTCCCAACTTGACTCAACATTAGCACACAACAGTATTACATATATATAGAAATCATCCAGAAGTCATAATCATGAAATAATCATGAGTATCCAAATAAACAACCCGAAACCAACTCCAAACAGGAACCAGCCGATTAGACCGTCGAGCTAGCCAGTCTGATAGCATGCTATACGCCGGTCTGACTGGCCTTCTCTACCTAGTTTGACCGGTCCAACACAGTCAGCTCACCAATTATTCACCAAATATTAAAATCAATTATCTCATATGTCGATTATTCATGACAAAATAAATAATAAGAAAAAACACTTTGATTTCACACCTCATGGATCGGAGGCCATCCGCCACCTCTTCGATCCTCCGTGCTCATGTTGCAAAAGGGAGGTGGTTGAAAGGAGAGGGGAGAAAAAGGCCTTGACATGTGTGCCCCATAGAATTTTATTTCCTTTGACTTAATTGATACATGAGCCACATAGGATTAAAACTTCTTCGAATTGAGTAAGAGGGGGTAATTCATCCATTTTGATAAGTTCGGAAACGTCGGACGTCCAGGTATTACAGTTAAGGGCGTAAATCAGACTACCAAGGTTTATATGTTAATTCAGACTTTTCCTTATATAAATGGCTTGTTTCTTTTCATACAAGTTTTCCTGCAGCAACGTATATATAGGATATCATAATGTTACATGTGCATCACGAACCAAAGATGCAAGTAGAGCATTGTAAGCAGCAGCAACGTACAGCACATCGTCAAGTTACATACACATCATGAACCAAACATGCAAGAGCAAACCATAGCAAACAAGAATATATATTTTCTTCCGCTATTCATGTGCAACCAGGAGCACTACTTCTTGAAGAGAGACCCAAGCAGCTACTCCTCTTTCCATGAGGACAACGGAGGGGTCTCACAATCCTTCCAGGTGTTGGCCATCTGAGCGTACCAGTCACCGTGCACATCAGCAGCAGCAGCGTAGGATTCGAGCTCAGCCATTTCGTCCCGAGTGAGCTCCAGGGACAGAGCCCCAACATTCTGGTCGAAATTCTCGATCTTCGTGGTACCGGGTATGGGGCAAACATCGTCCCCCTTGTGGTGAATCCAAGCCAGTGCGAACTGCGCAGCCGTGCATCCTTTCCTCATCGCCATCGCATTGACGCGATCGAATATCTTGGCATTCTTCTCAAGGTTTTCTGGTTGGAATCTAGGCAGATTCTGCAACAAGTGAAAGGTCGTACTCAGCAAATTAAGCTGCCAATTGATTGCTCAAAGGAGTTTAAAAAATGTTAGAGTTTTTGTCAAAATATTTGTACGTAGTCGGTTATAGTTTAGAACTTGGAGTTGTAGGAGGTAAAAGAATAGAGAGTAAGAATTAGACGCTATTATAGACTCTCTCTTAGATAGAGAGACGAACATGTTGTAACCATATGATGACTTAGCATAGCCGAGAAGGAGCGGCTGCAGGTGGCATCCAACCGATGGTCATTATAACTCTAGTTCACTGTAATATGTTGGATCGGGGAGGGGTGCACGTAAAGTGCCTCGAAGATGTAGGCTTCGGCTGAACTCCATTATCAAATATCGTGTCTCGGTGTCGTCATCAGGTGTTTCTTTCTTGTTTAGCCATCAATGATGATTTCGGGGCTGGTTTGTAACAAAAAAGTTTCATGATTTCAGACCTGTTTTTGAAATGTAAAGCGTTCGGAATTGTTTTAGAACTTTTCAATAACGAAAACAAATTTGGAATTATTTTTTCTTGGAACGGTTTTGGATTTGTTTTTTCCTAATAATGTCTACTGTCTAAAAAGATGATAAGTTAGATTTGACAATGTGATCTCTGAACTGTGGTATTATCTTATGATAGTGCTATTTTTTGTTGCTAAAATTTGGAAATTTTATCTGTTGTTTTAAAAAGATTTGGAAGCTCATTTTGACAGTTTTTTATATTCCCATAAATATTAGTTACCGTATTCGCTTTTATTCATATTCGCTCCATTTTTTATTTGATAATATTTTATTCTGTATATAGGGATTTTTATTCCAATTTTAATTCCTAAAAAATATGAAAATGAAAATGAAAATGGTAGAGTTGGTTTTCTAACTGTTTCCATCCCTATAGGAGACCGCTTAAGGAAGTCATAAAGATCATTTCTATTTTCACGGCCAGCCACTTGATTTTCACGGGTGGGTGCTAGCAGCCACTTGATTTTTACAGGTACCAGTGACCACATGTGGTAACACGATTTTACCCTGTACGAAAATCTGTTTATTTACACAAGCAGCTCCATTCAGATAGCTACCCATGTCCACGACATTTTTCAGACATTGCTCTTAAATGCCCGCCTATGTCTTGTCTTTTCTACTATTGATTATCATGCGAACTCCTCACAAGACGAACCATCGGATGCCAATCAAGCCCGCCACTACCACACTACGCCTCCTCACCTCCCATGCCATGTCTATTAGAGAGCAATGAGAAACCTCTCCATAATCTCCCAACTTTTTCCACTATCTACGACAATAATGTACTCGTCGCGTCAGCCGTAGTACATCGCCATTAGCGAGGAGGACAACAATGATATATAGGAGCATGGGGACATCTCATCCTCCTTATCGTCACTGGCCGTATTGTCAGGCGAAATTCCTGGGGATAATTAGCATAGCGAGGATGACCGGTGGTACAACAGGTCCTATCAAAGGACTCCAACGAGGGCCCACTATCGCTGAAGGAATAGAACGAGGACAAAAGTGGCAACGAGGCTGACGACTCGGATGAGGGCAGCAGAGGCAGGTGCGAAGAAAGAGATAACCTCCTTGATCACCATGGTCATGGCGGCGATGGCAGCCTATGAGGATGACACCATCTAAGAAGAGGCACGGCTAGAGCCGATGCCAGAGGCATACCCAACATGGCTGAGGTGCCGAAGCTGATCCCCAGCTTGGCCAAGGTGCAGGAGGAGGGCACCTATGTGGCTATGGCACCATAGGATGAGGCGAAGGATGGGCCACTGGCTAGAGTCAAGCATAGCCGTCAACAGAAGCAGAGATTGAGGAGAATGCATGGCCCTTCCCCATTGCGCTGGCCCTATCGCGAGCTCTGACACTGGGCTAACTGTCAACGTTTGATCCACAACGATGGTGAAGCGCCGCCGCCACAACTAATTGTACATATTATTTTTTTAGTATAGGCCCAAAGTACGACAAGTAGCCTCAGTAGTATGTAATTAGGGGCAAATTTTTGATTTGTATTATAGTACTGTGTTTTCTAGGTTAAATCTTTTGTAGAAATTGAAATATATGTTAAATCATTTTTTCATCCAAATCAATATATATTAAATATTTCATCTAATGTAGTATCCAGAGCATTTGACAGGTGGACAATTTGTTGTCTCACTTAAATGTGGTCCCAACTTTTTCCCAAGCGGCTTTCATAAGCCACTGCATATGAACCAGGTCTACTTGTTATTCAAAATTTCATAATAATTTTATATGAAGGCTGATTGAAATTAACAGAATTTCAGAGTGATCCTTGCTACAATTCCTTTAGTTTAATTCAGTCAATAACTCTTTCAACTACAAACTTAGTAGGGATTACCACTAATATCATGATATCTGACAAATTAAAGTCAAATGGTATGCAACATATAACGATAGTAAGTAACCCTAGTAATGCAGATATTTTAATGAAGAAACCTAACATAGCTGGAACACATTACACATGTGTAGTGGGGATCATAGTGATAAGTTGTTTATCTCAATCAGAGTTCATATGAATTTTTCAAATCTTTGAAAATTGTTATCGCAGGCGGCGACTTGCATCCGCTTGGAAAAATTATATTCCAATGCAGATATCTGAAGACGCCGCCTGTAAAAATGATTTAGACATAATAAATGGCCAAGAGTGATTCAAAGCTCTAACTCCATGAATTGGAAAATATAATCCGAAATCGTCAACGCCGCCACTGTTGCCCACTAGATCTGCCAACACAGCCGCTGCCCACCAGATTTGCACTTGTCACGACATGAGGCCATGACGGGATAACCAACGCTAGGAGGATAGCCAGTAGCGTCGGCTACTGCAGAAGGGAGCGCATCCATATCTAGGTGAGTGTTGTCCTGTTGGATCTCCCACCATCACCGCTCCACATCCAAGTACGTCATCCTGTTTATCCGACGGTTTGTCCGGTGATCATGTGGTATGTATTGTTCAGCATTTTTTGCAGTCCCACATTTCATGACTACCTTGTCTGATAGTCCACGTTTCGAGAAAACTGAGCGAGTAGTAAGCATATGATAATTTACCTTGCGAAAATCATGGTCTGGTAGAGAATCCACTAGTTTAGCTCCACCAGAAAAGAACTAACCCTCTACCAAGTGGGCTGTAAGCTACTATTCCAATTCCAAGTTCCCTGAAACAGAATTAACAAACAATAGTTAAGATGGAGCATATGATTTTTTCTCAATAGACAAACTAATTTGTTTTCTTTTCACTACCTGCAAGTTGGAATTATATCTTCTTCCACGTCTCTAGACCATAATGACCACTCGAGCTGAACTGCATTGATAGGGTGTACCGCATGAGCCCTTCTGATTGTTGATGCAGATGCTTCACATAACCCAATATATTTTACCTTTCCTTCTTCAACTAGTTTTTTGAGTTCATCAATCTAATGGCATCCACAATGTGAGTAGAAACCAAGTAGTAAGTATTAAATATCACCTTATTACTTGGTAGTAAATATTTTAAAGGTGGTATACTACCGGATGGAAGGAAAAAACAATCTTATGTGAACAATGTCTCCGACACACCCGGTCACAATGCTATCAGCAATGGATAATTTTTTTCTCAAGTGGCCCCCACCTTATTCATCACCCGTACACATAAGCATTGCAGATGCAGTAAAGACCTACTACCCACTATTGTTTGGGCCCACACTGATACCGAGTTTAGTAAGAAACATTGAGCATGCTCTAATAATGTGAAAGGACTACAAGATAATTGAGCTATTCCACTAAATTATCACAACAAAAAATAATTCGTGCCAATATATTGTACTATTGCAACGATAATTTTTCTGTGACAAATAACTATATTTTATTGCAACGACTTACCATCATTGTTTTATTTAGTATTTTTGTTGCAATAGAAAATAAGATATTGCCAAAAAAAACATTACCGTTGAAAAAACATGTTCTATCATCACAATTTTAATTTTGTGGCAATTTGCATAGTACATGGCTGTGGTATGTTACTTTTTACTATTTTCTATTGCCACGATCAACAAATTCGTTGCAATAAAAAATTGTCATCTCATAATTTAACTTATTTTTTTCATATGGACATGGATTAGAACAAATTTTATATGAAAGTTATAGCTCTCAACGAGATCTACAATTTTATAGGTGATAACTTTTTCATTTGAAATCTTTTATATATTTAAATCCGTGATTCAAATCTTAGTTAGATATGCTCAAATGGAACGATATGCATTTTCTAACAGAATTGATGCGTAGGTGAGTTGGTAAAGGAGAGCACACGTGAAGGATAGGTCTTGTGTTCGAATCCTAGCAAAGACAAGGTATCAAATAATAAATAGTTATGATGTAGAACAAAATTAGTTAATATTTAAACTTTTAATTTAGTATGTAGAACTAATGCCACATATGGAGTGGTGGCAATAATTATTTATTACAACGATGTGAAGTGTTGCAATATAATTTTTTGGCCACATCCATTCCGTGGAAACATCAAAATTTATTACCGCTAAATAAAAATCGTTAAAATAACCTATTACCACGCTATTTATTACCACGGCTAGTAACGATTTTAAAATTGTGGCAGCATGTATCTATCGCCACAATTTTAGTATTGATCGATGCCATGATTTTTTTCATGGCAACAAATTATTTTTCTAGTAGATCAACTAGATAAACTTGAAAAGAAAGGTCATTACTTAAAAGGCATGCATAGCTCTCAAGATAAAAAAATACAAGGGAAGGTAGTGCAGTTTATACACAATAATTTAAAGCAACAATTCAAAAATGTGTGCTAGCTCGTATGCGTTATTAGAAAGATATAGCACACCAGAATGATCAACACGCATATACTGTGGGGCGTGTTATAGTAATTATTGCTAGTTTGTAGTTAGATGTTCCAAAAGGAAAAAATGAGTCCTTCAATCAAAGTTTTTTCTTTCCCGAAAGAATATGAAATTAATTATATAGTGAAATCGATAAATAATCAAATGCTCCTTTTTTTTGCTCTTCATTAATAAAAGAAGAGTAAATTGCACTCACGGTGCATCAACTTAGCAGGTGGGTGTAATTTGGTGAAAAAACTTGAGAAATGAGCGTTCTAGTGCAACAACTTGGTAGGTAGGTGCAATTTAGTATAAGAACTTTATAAGTAATTATATAAATGTAACAACTTGTAAGGTAGGTACAATTTTGATACAATAAATTAAGAAGTTATGAGACAACTTAATTATTTGGAGATTTTTTTTATAGATTCAATTTTTAAGTACTTATTTTGATAATATACTAGCGTGTATTTGTATAAGCATATTTATATTTTTATCCTAATAACTAATTACTAAAAGTCAATTAAACTGGATGTAAAAATTATTATATTTCGGTTGATATTTGAGAAGGTGAAGAAAAAAAAATTCTTAAATGTTAATTGGATGTAAACTGTATGTGCAGTATAATTTTTAAAGATTAAATCTAATATTATAAGGTAATATATGTAGGATTATATGTTAATGATATATTGACATCGTGAAAAAAAAAATCAACTAGCATATGCTTAGCCAAGTTGATGCATCAAAATATTAAATTGTCAAGTTCTTGTACTAGAACACACCCACTTGTCAAGTTGTTACACTTATACGTTCATTTCTCAAGTTCTCATACTTTATCGCACCTATCTACCAAGTTGTTGTACCATGAGTACAGTTTACTCATAAAAGAATTAAGAGTTAATTATCCGTTTTTCCAACAACTGTCCGAATAATTATGAACCTTGACACCAACCATTTGCCAAACCCTTCACCAGGCCACCACCAACTTTCCCTTTCATAATCAGCTTTTCATCACTCACCCGTTTATGTTTCTCATAACAAAACAATAAACACAAAGGCAAAAAGAAAAAAGAAAAGAAAAGAAAAAAACAGAAAGAGAGACCTGAGAAAGGGAAGGGGCACGCACAGTGACCTCGATGGGCACCTTCTTGTCGACGCGGTGCTGGTAGTAAAGGTCTATGCAGTCGACGCCGAGCCGCTGGAGGCTGCCCTCGCACGCCGCCCGCACGTACGCCGGGTCCCCGCGGATCCCCACCTTACCGTCGGCGAGAAATTTACCGAACTTGGTGGCCAGTGCAACATTGTCGCGCACACTGCCGACCTGTAGCGCCTGCCTTTTTTCCAACCCATATGCAAACAAGCATTCCGTCGAGCACCTTCAGCGCACCACTACTCGCGCATGGCGCAAATCAACCCAAAGAAAGAGAGGGACACCAGTGGAAGGAAGAGGAAGGTACTATACGTACCTTGCCGAGGAGGGCCTCGTTGGCGTGCGGCCCGTAGATGTCGGCGGTGTCGAGGAGGGTGACGCCGGCGGCGACGGCGTGGTGGATGAGCGCCACCATGTCGGCCTCCGGCTTGGACGGCCCGTGGAAGGCGGACATGCCCATGCAGCCCAGCCCCTGCGCCGAGACCTCCAGGCCCTGCGAGCCCAGCTTCACGCGCCGCACCGCCGCCGTCGCCGGAGCAGCAGGTGCCATGGCCGGCCGGAATCGGATCGATCGATTTCCCTCCACTGTACATCTGTACCCATATAATGCTGTGCGATGGCAACTGCGTAGTTGGGAGGAGTACCCTTTTTTTTGACAAATTGACTCTTTTTAAAAACTTATTTCGAAACTAACCCCTGCGAAAAACTTCAACCAAAGATAGGCCGTCGGCGCAGCGCCAAGCGCATGCGCTTGGGGTTGGCCGTGTCAGCGCCAACGAGGCTGGCGCTGACATCGTGCCACCGTGGCGGCCGGGCCGATCCCCCAGCTAACGTGGTAGCTACCTCAGCACCAACCACTTCGGCGCTGAGATGCCAAAGTTCAGCGCCAACGGGTTTGGCACTGAGGTTTGGTACTTAGAGGCCGGCCGAGGCCGCCCCAGCCAGCCTCTCCTCTCTTCTCCCCACCGCGGCTGCGCTAGGGTTCGTCGCCCTCTCTTCTCCCCTCACCAAATCTCCCCCAAATCAACTCAAATCGAAGGGGATTTCGTCGGGATTGAGTTGAGGATCGATTGAGAAGGTAAACTCCTCTAGAAACCCTAATTTCCCCCATGTTTTATTGGATATTTCGCATTGTTTGGTTCCAACCGTGGGTTGATAATATTTGGCTCCGATTGCGATGTTAATTGGATAATGTGGGTGGGGATGTAGTGCGGAAGACACATATTAATCTTGCTCCATTTGGTTCATGTGTGGTGATGGTTAGGGCTTTGTTGGATTGTTGTGTGGTGATTGAAATGGTTGCAAGGGGTTGATTTGTGGTGATGTCTAGGCACTTTGTAGGAGAAGAGAAATTTTTTTTGTGAATAATGTGTAGTATATGAGTTGAAACAATTATGTTATGTTTTATGGAAAAAGTTGGACATGTTGATAGGTTTGGAAGTTTTGGGATTGCTATGGTATTTAGAGATTATTTTCAATTAATTAATGTTTATGTATGGGTTAAATATTGTAGATGGATAGATTGGTCCGGCTTCATTATGGTGGTTGTGTGGTAGATGAAAGTACCGGTGGAAGCCAATTTGAGGGAATGATTGTTAGACAGTTAGTGTTTCATGCGAAGCCTACATTTGAGGAGTTAATGTCTCGCATTAAGCATGAATTGGATTGGAGTGATGAGTCAGTTGGTATGCAAGGGAGATACGATGTGGGCGCCGGTGTCATGTTGCATAAGTTTATGTTAGACTTGAATGGAGAGATCGAATGGCAAACATATATAGATATAGTATTGGGGTCACATTTCAAAGCTCTTGAGGTGTTTGCATGGAAGAAAGAGGGTAGGAAAGGGAAGAAAGAACTTATAGACCTGAATGAAAGTCCACTCATAGAATAACCCATTAGTTCCCACGAACAGTCGGAGAGGTGTAGTAGGAAGGAAGAATTAATTGAGGTGGAGGTGGGCGAGGGAGTAAATGATACAGCGGATGTAGAGGTCAGGGAGGAAGTACATGGGGAGGAGAATGTCCCGGTAAGGGAGGAAGTACATGTAGAGGAGAATGTGCCGTTAAGGGAGGAAGCAAATGCAGAGGACAATGTGCTGTTAAGAGAGGGAGTTAATGTAGAGGAGAATGTGCCGGTAAGAGAGGAACGAGATGTTGACGATGGTCGGGAGGTAGGTGATGATGTGGAGTTGCCTGAGGAAGAAGCGAATGCTAAGGATGTAAGTTTGGGCCTTAGGGAGTTGGTTAGGCTGAAAATCTATACCCGACAGGAGTGTGAGGAGGTTATGATACGCAGTGGATTGAACCCAGGCTGATTGGAGTATGATACAGAGGATGAATTGGATGAGTCCGCTTCTGACTCCGATGATGATCGTCCAGTGCGCAAGATGTCGGAGCATGAAAGGACTGTGTTTGAGAAACTGGTGGGTAGAAACCCGGAAATAACACAATTCGAGGATCTTACAAGAGCCGGGCTAGCAATTGCTGATGAAGATCCACAATATGACGGTGCCTTCGAACCAATGTGTGATGAACCAAGGAAGGGGTTGGAGTTTTGATCAATGGAAGATCTGAAGATATGGCTGCAGAGTTATTCTATCCGTGTCCACCGGCCTTACCATGTCAAGGAATCTAACGCGTCAGTAAAGTATACTGTGGCTTGTCTCGATCGCCGTTGCAAATGGCAGATTAATGCAAGGAAGAGTGGAGGAGATAGGTGGCGGGTGACTAGGGTGGGCGAAGACCACACATGCTGTAGTGCGGAAGTAACCGGCAAGCATTTGCAACTTACTTCGAGGTTTATTGGAAATAGGTTACAGGCATTTGTGCGAGCTGAACCAACTTTGTCTCCTGTAGCTATTGTCGAGGCAGTTGAGCAAATCTGGCACTATCGGCCTACATATGGCAAAGCTTGGCGTGCTAAGCAAGTTGCTATGAAGGTCATTTGGGGAGATTGGGACGAGGCGTATGTTCGCTTGCCTACACTGATGCGTGCCATCAAAGCAAGGAACCCTACCATGAGTTTCCGTGTTGAGGCTCACCCCGAGAAGTCAAGGATGGTGGAGGGAGTACAGAGGCGAGTATTTGGACGTGCATATTGGATATTTGGCCAGTCCATAGAAGCATTCAAGCACTTGAGGCCGGTGCTAGCAATTGATGGCACTTTCTTAACCGGTAAATACCAAGGTACATTGCTCATGGCAATAGGGGTCGACGCATGGTTACATCTTGTTCCCTTGGCGTTTGCTCTGGTAGAGAAGGAGAATACATCCAACTGGGAGTGGTTCATCAACATGTTGAGACACAAGCTGATCGGTCCTAATAGAGAAGTGTGTATAATTTCTGATAGACACCCTGGCATTTTGAACTCCATCAACCACAACATGCCTCATCACCTAACCATTCACCACAGGTGGTGCATGAGGCACTTCTGTGCTAACTTCTACACAGCTGGAGCTACGACTGATCAGATGAAAGATCTTGAGCGCATATGTCAAATAAATGAGAAAGCATTGTTCCTAGATGAGATAAAACGGCTATTGGGTGTGGTCGGAGAGAGGCCAAAGAAGTGGCTAGAAGACCATATGGCACTTAAGGTCAAATGGGCAAGAGCATTTGATACCAACGGGCGTCGCCACAGCATAATGACCAGTAATATGGCCGAGAGTTTCAATAATGTCTTGAGAGGCATTCGAAAACTGCCGGTTACAGCTATTGTGGCATACACATTTTCGAAGTGCAATAGTTGGTTTGTTGATAGACACAAAGAGGCAACTGTAGATATCCTGAGTGGAAAGAAGTGGCCCACAAAAGTTAAGGACATGTTGGAGGAGCAGCAAAGACGAACTTTGGGGCAAAGAACAGCATGTTTCGATTTCCCTTCGATGAAGTATGAGGTCAGCGAGCAAGGCGGAGTCACGGCGGCTGGGGTGCAATGGGGTGGACGTCACTACGTCGTGGTTGCGAGAGATAACACATGTAGTTGTCAGTTCCCTCAGCTCCATCACTTGCCATGCTCCCACATGATAACCGTTTGTAAGTTGCGAGGTTTGGATGTGGAGGTGGCCCCCCGAATGTGTTATGAAGCTTCCAATAGGGCTGTGCAGGACACGTACTCCCCTAGGTTTGAACCTTACCTAGATCCATCGCAGTGGCCAAGTTATGATGGAGAGTTCTTCGTTTCGGACTTGTCATTGAAGAACAACACACGAGGAAGAAGAAGGACAAGAAGGTTCAAGAACGACATGGACAAAGTGTACAAAGGCTCAGCCAACCGACGGTCACAAAAGCCGAACAATACAAATTCAGAGCCGGTCATGCAAAATAGATGCTCGCTATGCCACGAACTAGGCCATAAGAAAACTAGGTGCCCGAAGCGAGACAAGTCTAAGGATCGACCGAAAAAGCGCCGTAGGACGGGGGGAGGTGGTGAGGGTAGCACACAGGTGGGATTGGATGACATTCATATTTTTTAATGTTTTAAATTTAGTTTGCATTACATTTGTTAAGTTCATATTGTTGCTTCAATGTTTACTTTCTGTTGTCCTCCTTTCCGTTCTCATTGTGATTTTTCCATTTATTTTTTTTTTTTTTGCAATTACTGATGATTCCATTTTCATTTGCAGGATGGAGCACTTTCCGGGGTTGGAGGATTTCTACGAGGAGAAGCACAGGGCTCCCCAGATTGTGAGCGGAGAGGTTAGCATCAACAATATTCCATTTTTTTTATGGTTGAATTTATTTTTTCTTCTTTGATTTGATTCTGTATAGATAGATCAACCATCATAGAGATATCTCAAATCAAACACACACAAAAAAGAAAAAACCCCATTTTTTTTGTTCTGTTTTTTTCACACTGTACATAGAGAGAGATCATGATTCATGAGCCTCAAAGCAGAGCATGTAAACACACACAAACAACAAAAACTGATCTGAATTTGTTTGATTCATTTTGAAATCTCAGCTTCTCTTTGTCCCCGTTCCAGAACGCCCAAATCTGAGCAGGAAATAGTTCGATTTCCGTATGAAGCAGGTCCCAAATGGGCCTTAAACTTGATGAGTTCAGTTAAGCTGCCTGAAGTGTGACACAACAAATTTGATGATATTTTGTACGTCACTGTATATCTGTTTTGCTTGGGAACACACCAGTTGGACGATCTGGCAGCCTGGCACAATTCATCAAATTTTATCATTTTGTTTATTTATTTATTTATAACGTATGCAAGGATGCCATAGATCTTCTTTTCAGTTTTCTTTTTCCTAGAAAAATGGCGTCCATGCAACAAAGCATCTTAATCAGATAAGCTAATTTTCATATGGCTAAGATAATCTTGCCACTGAATTAAGATGTGCTTTTTCCATGACTTTTTTTAGTACTTGGGAACATGCTTACCAGTATGGTAAGTATTAGTGCTGGTTTTTAAAAATAGTATTTGAGATGCCAATTCTACTGGTCATACAGAACTAGTACTTAGCTCAAGATTGCTCATAATGAGTAGTAGTTGCTTGTATTACTTGATCATAATCACAGAGATTCCTGCTGACCCAATCCCAAAATTAAAGTTCCCAGTTGCTTGATATATTTTCCACAACCCTTGTATATGATATATTGTCGCTAACTATATGTTGT